GTCTTTTCTATATATATATATATATATATATATATATATGGGATATTGTAAACTTCACAACCCTTCAAATTACAAAGGTTCAAAATAGAGAGAGTTGTGAATGGTGAATTTATTAATTTTGTTGGTTGTTTTTTAAAAAAATTATTTTTGTGGGGCAAATTTGTAAATATTACGACAAGGCAAAAGGTATTTTTGCATCTCCATAAAGGCTATAATTGAAATTTTAAATAAAGGACAATAACACTCTACAAATAAAGTTAGAGGATACTAACTTTTAAAATACCATTGTACTTTTGTGAAAATTTCAAATTTATTTTTGTGTAACGATAAAGTTACCTATTTAAATAAATTTTTAATGAAAAAATAATGATTGTTTTGATAAATATACCGATCACAATCCCTTCTAACTTGAACTTTTTATATGTATCTCTTTTTTCTCGTTTTTTCTTATCAACTTTGATGTTTAAGCTCAAAATCTATGGCACCTTACAAGAAAAATCTTTAAAAAGTTGAAATTTTACAGTGACATCCTACATTTCATGTGATTTATCTATCGGGAAAACGCACTTGAATGTTTACAAAAATTATGGAAAAGATGTCACGTAATTATTTAGCTAGGTTACACAAGCAGGCCATGTTGCAACAGAACCCATCAGTTGATGGTGGTAAGATGCATAAAGGACTAATATTTGATCTTATTCTTTAAGGTAAAGGGTAGTTTTTCCCTAATTGGAAGATGATTTTCACAAGTCTTCGTTCACAAAGGGTCCATTTATTCCGAAAGAAAATCAAAATTTTGATGGATCAAGTGCCATATAATAAGAAGACAACAATTACCTACAACAATTACCATTGAAATAAAATTATCAGATAAAAAATAATCAAAGTCTCGAATAGCCAAAATACCATAAGACTATACCACCGAAAAAGCTACGTTTAAGTTATTAAAAGACTTAATTAGTTTCATGTATATAAATTTCCCAATAGGTTCCTGGATTTGTTATTTTATCATGCGTTTTGCCTTTTTTGAGCTCTCTGCCCCTTGACCATAATTTTTTGCCTTTATATTATTTGTCGTTTCACCTTAGTTTTTGGACTTAGAACGCTTTCTATTCTCTGTATTTTGGCTCTGTAGAACCGTTTTCCTGTATGGCCTCTTTAAGTTCTTTGTTGTTTCATCAGGATCTTTTGCCTTTCTTGGAATTCCTTGGGGGGATTCCTCACAATGATCTCTGGCATCGTGGGAATCTGTGTCATTTGGCGTATTGTTGGTCAGTTCATTTGATCCTATGTTATTAAATTCATTTTGCTGGCTGAAGACCTAAGTCCTCGGGTTTTTTTGCCTAGAACGAAGCAAAGCGAAACCTGAGACTGCTGCTTTGGTCAGCTTCAGCGGATTAAAGTCAAAGTGCGGCAGAAACGAACTTGATAACGTTGTTTTCAGCACGATAAAACGAAATTGCTGTCATTCTAAAACCGAAAAACTCTCTCAAGCATAGAGAGAGCGCAGAGGCCCTACTACAAGGCTCCTGTGATGCCGAGACTTCACCATCCCTCGTCATCCTCTTCCTCTGTTTTAAGAAGTACCAATCTCTATTTTCTTTGTAAAATGAGCAATTGTTTCATGCGGTTCAGTCATCCTCTGTTTTAAGAAGCACCAATTTTCCCAATCTCTCTTTTCTTTGTAAAATGAACAATTGTTTCGTACGAGCTCTCGTACCGTACTTCTACAATACGGTCCATAGGTATAAAGCATCCATCTTAAAGATGGATGTAAATAGATGGTCCATCTAAAACGATGGCAACTTTTGGTCCAAATGTTTTCTTAATATAATTATTATTTTTAATTTGTATAATTTATTTTATTTTTCATATTCATGATCTCTATGTTTAAGATTATTTATTCTCCAAAAATGTGGATCAAATTATATTCAAAAAATATATTTATTGCCAAGCCTGCATTTTTACAATATGGGCTGGCCGCATTCTAACCGTGTCCTTGTAAAAATCCACTGTCCTTTATTTTAATTAAAATAAAATACATTGATTTCCAGGCACCTCTTCATCATATGAAAGGACTTCTATATCCTCACACAATTAAATAAATTAAATGCCTTTTTTATTCTTTTTTTAAAAAATATTTTTTATTTTCTATTATTTGATATATTTTTATATAATATATATTGAATCAGCCAAAGCATGTAATTGCTTGACCAAACCAAAGAAGGCCCCTAAGTGAACGCTACCATTAAACTCCTAGCTGACCATGTCCCCGGACTTGTGTGTTAACTACAATTCTTTGGCCCTTTTGGGATCCTTTCGTATTTGGGGCCCTCTTTCTTACTCCACAACTCGTCGCCTCTTGGAATCCGTTATTTTTTTTGTTACATGTTCATCTGGGGTCGCTCAGCATAACTTTTTTCCATCATTGAAATTTGTTAAATAACTGGCCGTCTTGAAGGACGAAGTTTTTGACATATTTATGACGGTATGTTTTGGAAACTAATTTTAAAAAATTCTGGAAGCTTGATCAAATTTTTTTGGAAATCATTAAAGATTCAGCCATTTGGTATGGAATTGTGCCACAGACTACCTTCCCAGGTCACCAACTCAACAAGATAAAAAATTGAAATCATATCCCCTTGGTAAACCTAAAACATAAGGCTATTTAAATGCCCAAAAGTAAGGTTTAGGCGCACTGGGGATGGATGAGCATATACAGTGAGTTTACCCTCCCAAATTCCATCTTGGAAATGGATCTTGAATCTAAATTTCTGTAGGTCTTATCATCTAGGCCACCACAATGATGATAAAAAAAAAAAAGGCCTTCAAAATGGTTGATTTCGTACTTTCTTTCTGGACTGTTCAATTTAATTACTCCAACATCATAAAAGCTGCCCCTTTTTGGAATCCCAATCTATGGGTTTAAGGTGGAAATGAATTTATAATGATTTGGGATGCATTTCTAGTCCGTAATATTGAAAACAAAGGGGGTCGATGCAATCAAACAAAAACAAGAAGCCAATAGGGAATTCCCAAACTACATGCCACCAGGGTGATTTCATGGCCAGCTTAGCAAACCCTCTGTGATTAAACAAAGCTAAATGTAACATCCAAAAATTTTGTAGATACCCAAATTTAACTCAAATTTGCCAGTTCTTTTCTCATAGTTTAATATCCATGAACTCAAATTTGCCAGTTCTTTTCTCATAGTTTAATATCCATGATACCATAACCATTCGGTATGAGATGCTATACTTCTAGCCCAGGAAGTTCATAATAACCAGATGGAGGACTAGATTGCATAGAACAAAGTCTGCAAAAGCTCGTTCAGGTGCAAGATCCTGCAATGTGTAAAAGATCAGTTGGTTTGCCTATCAAAATGGAACAGAAGAGAAAAACAAATATAGGATTCTATTGTTACCTTGAATTCCTTGTTCTCTTTGTTGACTTGAATCCTGAGACAAACTGCACCAACAGATATTTGCCCGGTGTATTATAATAAAATCCTCCTGAAATTATATGGAAGCAGGCATTCTAAAACAAATTATTTGAAGTAATAATGAATCTTACCTGCAATAACAGCAGTGCCTACACAAGAAAGAACTCCAGAAAGGAAAGAGTTGAATGGAAATGATCCAACTATTGCCATGTATACAACCTGTTCCATTGTCAAAAGAAATGAGAAATAAGCAATTGATGCAGAACCAAGACAGGAGATGACTTCATAAAGCATAAGAAAAAGTGTAAACCATAGCGCTAGAATATGTTGCATGTTCTCATCCATTACTTCTTTGTGATTGATATTGCTTATCATTACAACTAGTCGAAATCTTTCAGAGAGAGAGAGAGAGAGAGAGCGAGAGAGAGCAGGGTTGTAACATCAAGGGTGTGGTGGTTGAGCACTAACTTAGTTTCTTGATGGGTTGTGGCGGATTATAGCAGGTGATAGAACTCCTCAATGCCGCTTAAGGAGGTGCCCTACTGAAGATGCACTCAAACATAACATGAAGGTTGATCAGTCTGCAATCCTAAATTGCTGGAACATGGGGCGTGAAGAACGTATTTTCATACGGAGGGTTGAAATAGTGAATTACAATGACCAAATTTCCCCAATCTCCATGTGAAACTTTTCTATCCCACTGATTGAAGAAGGAATTTGCCTAACATGTGAGGCATTAGAAAAACCTATTAACCCCAACACTGTGAATGTGACTGAGGAAATCTTAGGCATCAGCAGATATGTGGAGATCTCCACTAGCACACACACAAAAGGGGGACCGACATGATGATCAAGTCGAGATTGGCATCACAAGCTTTGGTTTGAGCATAGGGGAAACCTTCCAATTATAGTAATATGTTCTATACAACACATTTTCACGTTAACATACATTGTCCCATTTGCAGCATATTCACATTCACTAATATAAGTTACTCATAAAAGGAAATATGACATAAAACTAATACTTCCTAGTGTCTCTAAGTGAAATGAGATACGCCAACTCCAATCCCTATGATCTTAAAAATGGATGAGGAAATTTTAGCAATCCCATTTAATCAAAATGATCTTATGAAGTCACAACAACAGCCTTCCTGCTCTTATAAAATGATTACCTAGTACTAATACTAGTACTAAAACCCATTGTTTCCATGCAAGGGACCTAAAGATCACAGGTGTGATTAACTACACTGCTCCTTTTCTAAATCCAAGATAGGTTGATGCCAAGTTCATCTTTTGAAGGTATTCATATGAGAACAAAAGCATGATTTTATTTTGTAGAAAAGCAAAAAAAAAAGAAGAAAAGAAATAGAGAGATGTGATTCTGAAGATACTGCTCAACCTTAGGATTATATGGACATAAAATAATGCATAAGCTTATAACATTCAAAAAGGAAAAAAAGGTTCACAAGCACTCATAATAAGAGAATCAAGAGCACTGACGCATAAACTAGTACTCTTGAAAACATATATAGCCATAACAAGGACCCCAAATTATTCTATCAAGCACAACTATTTACATCCATCAGTTTATCAGAACATGGATTAAACCTCGCACGAAGATAGAAGAAATTATTATTTAGCACCCAAAAGAATCATAATGACATAGGTCTTCAAAATTCCTGTTAATTGGCCTTGCATCATAGGAGCATGATGCCAGAAAATACTCTGGAACTGCCATCCAGGAGAAATACATGCATTCCTTTTCCATTGACATATATAGAAAAGAAACAAAGTGAATAACTATTGAAGACTGCTGCAAACCAATGCGAAATATTCTTGAAAGTATTTAAGTAATTTCTTTTCAGGATTTCCAATATGACGAACTAAATTTTGAGATCCATATCCTATGTTTCCAGCATAATACAAAATATCAGGCTTTGAGTTAGTTGCCTCAGTTTTCGAAGTAAAGGAATGGGTGCTATCATCAATAAATAACCATGTTGCATGGACACCGATACATGTGTTAGTGTCAAACATAGGCACAGGCCATTGCATTACTCATGCCATAAAAGAGGATTCGGAAAGAACCCTAGTTTCTTTTGCTTATTATTGGTAAGAATTCTAGTTTCTTGTTATTTAATCATTCTATGCTGAACTGACCAAAATACTTACAAGAAAGCTATTTGCTAACAAGTTCTACTAAGAATGAAATCGCCCTTTACCGTTCCCTATTTCTTGTACTATGTCCTTCCAAGATTGACTGTAATTGTTTAACATTTGGAAACACAAAAAATTTGGTGTCATAGCCATATTTCTCTAGTCATGAAGGTCGAGGACCATCTCTGAAAACCCATAAAACATACAGACTGTGATAATCATCTGCAAGTATAAAAGCCCTTCACCTAAAGATTCTATAGGTCCACAAAGATTAAAACATACTGCACCATTTGGGAATTCTTTTATCCCCAAAAAAATTATCCAAACTAAAAAGGAAGTTTTATTTTCCACCCATTTCAGTTTCCATAACCATTCAATGGAAGAATACAAATAGCGGCCGAAAATGAGAAGTGCAAATACACTAGAAAAACTACACACCTGGATCAAGGCTGTGAGGACTGCAAAAACAACGTACAAATCTATGAGCTGCAAAAATAGGGGTTTAAAAAATCTTCAATGGAGATCGATTAGGCAATAAGAGAGAGAAAGAGAGTAGAGAGAAAGAGAAATGAAACCTTAAGGTTGGTGGGGGTTGCAGCATAAGCAGATCGGAGGGATTGTATAAGAGCCTGGGCATCCTTAGCAGTGCTTGAAGACGATGACGACGACCTCGCCATATTCTCTCTCTCTCTCTCTCTCTTTCTCTCTGCAAGATGAAATAAAGCCAGTAAGTAGAGCGTAGGGTTCCCTAATAACGTCTTAATCGTCGGAAGGGTCTGCGTTATAGGTAGCATTTGATAACTTTCACTGCAGTGCCCCTGGGAATCACCCCTCCTGCTGATTTTCCTAGATTCTGGGATGCAAGTGAAACTTGGTAGGGTGAAAGCTGGAAACCCTGTTTGATAAATTCTGGTGCTTGTAATTTCACTTGTTTAGCAATGGGAAAGCTGAAAACTGCCTGCAATACTATTCATTATGTATTTCATTGATATGATGTGCGAATTGCAGTTTTTTAAAAACATTTTGTAATTAAATAAGGTTCCTTCCATTCATCCTACGTATTAACCAAAAATGCAAATAGATTCAATGAATACCAATGTTTAAATAAATATTGAAAAAATTGATTTTCTTAATATCAAAATTTCACTCAATGCACAGGCAGTCCTCAAGAGCAAATATATATCATTTATTTAAAAAATAGATATTTAAAAGTTTTAACCATTCCATATTGCCACCAGTATATTACAGAAGCTAAGTTTGTTTCCTTTGAAATAGTAACACGAAAACAATCACTTGAATAGAGAGAATGAGAGCGAGAGAGATATATATATGGATAGATAACAATCTTATGGCACGCGCATGTATGCATACACTAACGTATATGGCGACGAGGACAGAAACGTCGAGGTAATCCTCCATTATTTGTTGAGGCAGATGACATTTTTTAATGGCACCTAAATGTACATTCAATTCAGATTAAAGTTTATTTATATGTTAAGTTTGAAGTGGTCTATATAATAGGTTTGAGCAAGGAAAAAAAGTCTTTTCAAACATCTAGAAGAAATTAAGCCAATGAAAATAAGACAAGCAGCAAAAAAACCAGAGTAGGAACTAACCAAACACCCCAAAAATCCATTTTATTTAACAAGTAAATACCCCACAACGCACTAATCATCACGCCATTCATATTCTAACATTGAAATACAATCAGGAAAAGAGCCATACAACCAATCCACGAGATTGATTATTGTGAACCCATCCAAAACCAAGTTACCCATCCATACTTTACTGTGCTTTATACTTGCATAAGTAACGTAGTGAAAAAGATTAAGTTACCACTCAAGAAAGAAAATTATGCTAATAAAATAAGGAAGAGACAATAAAACCACGCTTGGAGCTAAACCCAAAAAACCCACAAATTATCAAGCCGCTACAAATTGTTTAAGCACATCGCAATGAGGGGTCTGATAAGAAAAGCCCCATTGTGGCCTCTGCAGCTCAATCCTGCAATTTGCAGCAAGTATCGAAAAGTATGCTCTTTGCACCCTCTCTTCGAGCCTCACCCTTGTTAGAATTCGTGAGAGCATACATGCACAAACATTGAATGGAGAGTGGCGAGAGAAAAACATAACACAACATTTCCATGGTTCAGGCCGAAGCCTTACGTCTACAGATCCAAAGCCCAATTGGCTACATCTTTACTATTTTGGATGAATATTTACGTCAATAAATACCTCTAAATATAGAGGTCACACAAACAGGAGATAAATATGGTATGATTCTTGGAGATAAAGGTAAATAGTAGGAGGTCTTATCACCAAACTAACTTGATGACCAAGTAACTTTGACTTGGTCTCTTCTTATCTTCTAGATACCTAATCTTATGAAGAGATATATACCCATACTTCTTATCTTCTAGATACCTAATCTTATGAAGAGATATATACCCATACATCCATAATGATGTATATCAATATGAACCCGAGATATCCATATCGTAACACTCCCCCTCAAACTCAAGATGCTTTGACACGAAGCAGCTGAAGTTTGAACAATACCAAGTTGCCAAAAACGGGTAGTGATCTTCAAATTGCTTGAACAACAATCACAGATTGCAGCAAGCCTCAAGAACAAACGGCCTCAGGAATTGACTAACGAAAGAACTCCATCAACAACAAACAAACAGGCCTTTGGAACATATGAGATCGAGTAACGAAAAACTTGATCAATAGACAGGATCGAATAACGAAAAGAAATTCGATCATCTCACAAGATGGAGCAACGGAAAATCATCCAACATGATTGAGTAACAAAGAACTCGATCTTTCAACATAGACATCTGAAGTAGACATCTGAAGCAGACAGGATCGAGTAAACTCAATCATCATACAGGATGGAGTAACGAAAAGCTCCATCATTAAACAGGATCAAGTAACAAGTAACTGAAAACTTGATCATCAACCAGGATCGAGAAATTCGAACATCAAACAGGAGGTACTTGGAAAAGCCAACATAAATCAAAAGAAAATCCGACCGAAACCTTTTGAAATGTGAAGAATGCAAATCCTACAAACTTATAGGCTCTCTAATTTATTTTCTTTCTCTATTCTCTCTCTTTCTCTCTCCTCCCCCTCTTTCTTTGTCAAAGAGAAAAACCCCAAGATCAATGGTTCACTAAATCAATCTCTCTACCAACACCATCTCCAATATTATTTCAAGGATTCCAGAGCCCATTACAAAATTGATTGATATACAAAACCCACTTTCAAATTCTGCCCAAAAGTCCATAGCAAAACCCAAACTCATCGGAGGCAAAAACCAATCTTCACAACATCAAAATAATATCTCAAACTAACGAAATGTGCAAACTTTCGATGATCCCAACTTGATCTCCTTTTTTTTCTCTCCTTTATGGATAGGAGCTTTACTGCTGCCTTTTTTTTTCTTTTCTTTTTTTGTTTACTGTAAAGAACTCTCAGGCTCTAAAAAAATGCTTTTACTTGATACCATACTTAGAGAATACTTCAACGCTAACAATTATTTTGTCGATCTAAAGGATGTTTCTCACGGTAATACTTCCTATGCCACTGCTATATCTCCAAGATCTACAAACTGCCACCTATTAATGCCCTTTCAAGACCTCCACGCTAAATGGCAGAGACTTCACCATAAAACCCTTTGTTATATTCTTGATGCAATGGTAATGTCTTTCCCAAAAGTTATATGCAATTGGCGAAGGCGCGAGCGAGGCATGGAATGAGAAAACAACGAACATGAGGCTTGACTGAGCCTTGAGACAGACAAGTCGGCGTCTCTTATACACATCTCTGACGCTATTAAAAGTGGCATTTACCAAAACCTATTTTCGGTATTCATGAACCAGACAATCATGGCTTTGATACCATGTTAGAATTCGTGGCAGCATACATGCAGAGACAATGAATGGATAATGGACAGAGAAGGAGAGAACACAACATTTACGTGATTCAGGCCGAAGCTTTACGTCCACAGATCCAAAGCCCAACTGGCTACATCTTCACTATTTTGGATGAATGTTTACATCAATAAGTACCTCTATATACAGAAGACAATCCCACAAACAGGAGATAAATATGGTATGATTCTTGGAGATAGAGGTAAATAGTAGGAGGCCTTATCACCAAACTAACCTGATGACCAAGTAACTTTGACTTGGTCTCTTCTTATCTTCTAGATACCTAATCTTATGAAAAGATATATACCCATACATCCATAATGATGTATATCGATATGAACCTGAGATATCCATATCCTAACAACCCTCAATTCAGATTAAAGTTTACGTATATATTAAGTTTGAAGTGGTCTTAAAAAACAGAACCAGTCAAGTTCCCATGCAATTGTAGTACTCCTCATATTCAAATGCAAAAACAGTTTAGGGATGTAACCGCAAACAAGCCCATACTAGAACTAGTCACCTCTAGATCTTTTAGCTCAAAATTACATTCCCTCAAAACCCATTTCTTGTCCCTCTTAGAAAAGAGCAAATCTTCCAAATAATTCAATCAAATTCATGCGCAAATGACCACCACAGCGGTAATCTCTGATGGGTCTCTAAAACCCAAACTCCTCTCTCTCTTCTCAATTCCACTCTCTAAAATACACTTTCAAACTCTTCCAACAAGCCCACAACCACAATTTTCACACATGGAATGTCATAATTAGAATATTGTCATCAAGTCCATCCCCATCTAATGCTCTATCTCTTTACACCCACATGTTGCATGAAAACATCTCACCTGATAACTTCCCCTTCCCCTTAATGACTAAATCATGCTAACTATGTGATGCCATCATAATCATTGTAGCCAATCTTATTGTTTCTTTCAAACCAAGTACAGCTGAAGATCCTTACAGTAAATAACAGATAGGATGCTAATATTGAGTATTGCCACAATTTGTGGCATACTAAGAAAACTTTCTCAATAACTCAGCAATAACTTTCTAAAGGGCATTGAAAAGGTTGATGGATAAAGTGAACTGTCATCCAAATGACATCCGGGCAATTTCTCAAATAAGGGTGTGACATGGATTAGTTAAACAGAAATACAGAAAAAATGACAACCAACATTTTAATTAGCAATGAAACTAAAGTTGATCACTTCAGATATCAGTGTTCAATAAGAGCATTGAAACCAAATCCTCATTCATTATGAACCCCAAAGCACCTTCCAATCTCCTCCAAATTTGACTATGATGACCATTCCCAGAAACTAAAGTTTCTTGACAGAAGTCCTACAAAACTAAAACCAATAATCAATACTCATTTGACGCGCAAAGACAATAGTATCTGAAAAATAGCATATGGGTGTCAAATTTCCTCTCTCTTGGTGTCATGGCATGGACAATAATCCATGTGCTCGGTATCACAAAACTCGAAGAAGTTGGGGATCGTGGTCTCATAGTCTGATACGTTTGGGAGTGAAGGATCAAAGTGGTGATGTTCAAAGTCCAGAAAGGGTCCAGTTTGGTGAGGAGTAAGGAGATCCAGCCTTACCCCATTACCAAAACATTCTGCAGTTGAATTGGATAATGAGTTTAGGATAAGAGAATAAGTGTTTTAAAATGTGGGATGCGACCAAAAGTGGTGGGGGGTCGATGCGGCGATGCGGCTTGATGTGGCCCTGATGCGGGTGCAACGCAACGATGCGGTCAATAAATGTTAAAAAATTCTAAAAAATCTAAAAAATAGGTTAATGCATAGAAAAAATATGGAGGTGATATATGTGATAGTAGGTATTTTAGTTTAATGATTAACTTCAAAATTATTAGCTGTCGGAGATTCTGTATCCAGTTATCCACTTTCCCCTGATAGAAACTAGAAACTTGAAACAACCTTTGTAAAACATTCAACAATC